GTGTCCATTTTAGAGCCAGAGGTGTAGGGCCTGTGAAACCCAATGGGGACATGTGTCCTCCATGAGACAGAGGGCAGGAAACATTTTGCCAAATGCATGGATTAAGCCAAGTATGTACACACACACACACAGAAAGAGAGAGAGAGAGAGAGAGAGAGAGAAAGAGAGAAGCAGTGATACCTCCATCCCCCAAGGAAATACTGTAGTCTTATTGGTTTGTTGCAGGGAAAATGACAGTTTTATTACACCTTTACACCAAAGAATGTTTTATTTGGCATGAATCTATTCATAGACATAGGCAGTTTTTTCAGATGCTTTTTCAATATTTTTTTCAAAATACTGTGAAACACAATATTCAAGCCATTGTTTCAACATCCTAAAGCAAAGCAAAGCACTTCAAGCACTCTCTGGGCGGTTTACAAGTTAATTATGCAGGCTACACATTGCCCCCCCCCCCCGCAAGCTGGGTACTCATTTTACTCATTTTACTGACCTCAGAAGGATAGAAGGGTGAGTAAACCTTGAGCCGCTACCCAGGATTGAACCCCAGGTCGTGAGCAGTTTTTGCTGCAGTACAGCAATTTAACCATTGCCAGGATGTTTATACTAACCAACCCTCAGAATATTTGCAACCAGTATTCATAAAATGATTGAAGGTTTTTGTTTTTTGTTTTGTTTTTTTTTTGTTTTTGCTATCTCATTTCATTCTGTCCAATATGCATAACTATAACCAGTGTGCATATAAGCCTGTGGCTTGAATATTATGTGCCATGCATCTGGAGAAATGGGTTTTGTCCATAAAAGCTCATATCATATAAAACTGGCTCCTCTTAAACGTGCCACAAGACTCCTTTCATTGCTTCTACAGAGGCAGTGAGAACCTGGAAAAAAAATCCAGACTGAGACTGTAAATTATGTTATGGATGAGATTATATTTCTTCTGAAGGAACAGGTTGCCAGATTTGGGGGTGGGTGTTTCTTGAAAGCAGCACCACCCCTGTAAGGGCTGGTACCAGCTATGGCCAGGAGTGCCTTTGGCCAGCTTTGGCAAGTGCACCAACTGCATCCTTTCCTAGGGAAGGCAGGTTTGGCCACAGGCATCCGCACTGTACTTACCTCCCCAAGGGACTATGGTAAGGTGCTGTACACCGGACTGCCTTTGAAGTGTTCAGAACGTACAGTTAATGTGACACGAAGAGGGCAAACTGTTGTACTTCAGACACTAAATATCACGCCAATCTTGAAGCAACTTCATTGGCCAGTGGTTTGCTTCCAAGCTTGTTTCGAGGTATTGGTTTTGATCTACAAAGCCTCAATTGCTGGGGGCAAACAATTATTGAAGGACCTCCTCCTCCACTGTGGGCTTGTCCAGAACTTGAGGTCATCAAAGGGGTCCCATCACCCTGTGGGGCTAGGTTACTGAGAACCTGAGACAAGGCTGTATCTTTAGCAACACCTTAATTATGAAGCTGTCTACCAAGGGAAGTTTGGTAGGGTCCTTCCCCACTGAGATTTTGATGGATAGTCAAAACTGTACTATTCCAAAAGTTTTTTGGTCTCTAAGCATGACTTTGTAGGAACTTTAGGAAAATGCTTTAAATCTCTTTTGAAGAACATTGTTTAACAATTTTAACTGAGTTTTGGGAGCTCTGATGGACAGAAAAGTGATAAAAGTGACTAAACAAGCAAGCGAACAAACAAACATTGAAGGATAAATGCTATAACACCACTAAAGGGGGAAAACGTTGATAAAATGTTACAACAGATACAGTAGTGCTATTGAGGACAACTATAAAGTTGAAGTCTCCAATAGTGGTATGAGAGCAGATACAGAAAAATAAAGAGCATACAATACGTGCTTTGGGGTGACTAAAAGTACATGCAAGCAGAATTTTATGGGCCAAAGTTATTTTTATCCCCAGTAGGATGTTCTGGGTCAGGAAGGGTCATGTTGCATAGGTCATAGAGTTGTGTTTGCACTCTCTGAATTGCCCCATTTCTTAGCTTCAACTCAACTCCTGGCAAAGCTACTTATATCAGGACTATGTACATATGTATACGTGTAATAGTTCAGAAGGGCCGCACCGCAGGTTGCACTTTTCTGTCCTGGAAAGCAGGCCAAATCTAAGAAAAGGTGTGAGACCCCACCAGTCTTATATCATTACATTTCCTACAGCTTTGAGTGTGACTCCTGATGTAAATTGCAGTTGATTTCCATTCCAACAAAACACCTTTGTGTCTTTCAAGATATCCAACAAAGAAAAAAAATTGCAGCTGGATGCCTCAAAGGTTGTTGGGTAATATACAGACCTTTTATATATATTCTCAAACTGTGGGTGAATGTCAAAGTTTGGAAGAGGTATGTTTGGACTACAATCCCCGGAATCAAGGACTTGTACTGCAAAATAGAAATGTTCCCAAGCTCTGACTATCCTACATGTAGAGGGTTCTCCCTTCCCTTCTCTAAAGACAGGTATTCCATCACATATGCCACTGCTTCTTTCCTATACAGCGAAGGTGCTAGTTTGGTAGTAGAAGTGACAACTAGAGAGTGATGCAACTAGGGCCAAACTTTAAGGTCAAAGCCCAGCAAAGCTCCGTTCCCAAATAACCAACCAGAGAGCAGCAGATGATGGAGGCAGTGGCAAACAGGACCAGGCTGATACTTATCACCAAAGCATCTATTCTTTCTTTTCTTCTTCCTTCTGTTTTCTCTTGTTTTTTAAACACATTTTTTTTAGAAATTGGGGTGGGGTGGAGTGACCAGGCTTATACACGGTCACAAAAACAACTTCCATCATTGTTACTTTTCAAACACATTGTTCTCTTCTGCTGATTATGATCTATGCAGAAAAATGTCCCCCTGCACAATATGTAGATATTCCCCATGTTCTACAGTATACTTTCTCTCTTCCTACATTGCATCTCGTAGGAGAAAGTCTCACCATCATTGCAATACCTATGTCTTCGTTTTTTTTAAATTGGGGTTTTGATCTTCAAAGGCTGTCATTAACACAAAACAGAGAAAGGATTTGAGCTAACTCAAAGGAATTCCTTCCCCATGCCATGCCATCCAGTTCTAACATATGTTGAGCTTCTGTGTACTGTTTCATTTTCCCCCCCTATACATTGTCAGCTAACAGGCAGGTGGCTGATGTGATCCAAGCAAGGCCTGTGATAGAGGCAGAAAGGTGCCGCCATGAAATTTTGGGATGGGGCATCCCCCAGTCCCAGCTCATGAGCCAGCCTGGTGTGATCTGAATGACTGAGTGTCTTCTTTTTATTTAGAGGAGGAGGATAAGTTTTTTTAAGGCAGATTTTGCATGCAAAATATGGTCGTGCAGGTAGAAGGCTAGCCTATTTATGCATTGTTGTAGGACAGATAAAGACTGTGCGGTTTATTTTAGGGATAGGATGTATTCATGCTTTATAGCTGATTCCGATGTGTGCCGAGGTCTCATCCTGTGCTAAATCACTATCCATTTGAACAGCTGGGAGGAATCAGTCAAAGGTAGGTGTGGATTCCGTCCTGCTGCATCCTTCATTCAGAGATGTCCATCTCAAGGGTTTTGCTGCCCTCTTCTGGGGCTTGACAAACGTTCTCCAAGGCACGGAGCCAGAGCGGGGCCGGGGAGGGGACAAGACGTGTTTTTCTGCTGTTTGCTGTGAACGTCTATCCTGAAAGCTTCCATAGCCTGCACATCGTAGATTCCTTTAGGCAGCAATCCTAAGCACATCTGTTGAGGAGGAAGCTCTAATAACTGGACTGTGTAAGGCTGCCTTCCGAGTAAACAATTGTTCTGCTTGTTTCATTTCTGCAGAGTTATGTGAATGAATGTACATATACCTTGCTTTCTGTTCTTTATCCACACATTTAAAAAAAAACCTTCCCTAATACCTAATACAGCTGGACCAAACATTTTGCAAGCAAAGGATTATTTCTCATTTTCTCCCTCCATGTCCCCGTCACATACAGTGCACACGTAGAAACATATATTAACAGCATGTAGGCTGGGGGAGACTGAAGGAGCCTCTCTGAGGAAAGTGAGGGCTATATTCAGGTATGCTCTCGGCAACAACAATGCCTTGTTGACTCCGATCCTTCCACTTCAGGGGCATCGGATTGCTTTGGACACAGAAGAGGAGGAGAGGAGGAGGAGGTGGAGGAGGAGGAGGAGGAGCGACAACATTTATGCCTCTCAATGACCACATTTTCTAGATCTATAATATATGAATATTTTCTGGACCTAGAATATATGAACTCTCTGCTATCAAGTCAATTCCAGCTTATGGTGACCCATATTTCGGGATTTTCTAGGCATAGACCACTCAGAAGCTGTTTATTACGTATTACCCCCCTTCTTTGGGGGGCTCTCTGGGACTTGCACAGCTTGCCCAAAGGCCACAAAGGGTGGCTATTCTGAGAGGCACATCAGGAAATCAAACTCCCAACCTCTGGCTCTGCAACCAGATACCCAACTCACAGAGCTGTCCAATAATACAAACATCATCATGCTTCTGGGAAGCCCCTAGGAGTATGATGACTAGTAACAAAAGAACATGGAACTGTATAGCTTGTTTCAAAAGCAACCTGGTGCTTTCTTGCTGCTACTGTAGTATCAAGTTCAATGAGGGCAGGGAAGGGTGGTAGGGACCCTTTGTGGCCCAAAAACTTGGGTCAGGAGACCTCATGCAGCCCATAAGCTCTTTATAGCCCACCCCTAGTCTATTCTAATTAGCCATGGCTTTTCAGGATCCCAAGGTACAGAGCAATTCACTTTACTTGCGACCTGATTCTTCCAAGTAGAGATGCAGGGATTGGGTGTGGGAGTTCTTGCATGCCAAGCTCATTGAGTGAGCCACGGTTGTTTTCCACGTTTTAGTCCTCAAAATTATCTTTAGAAGTACTTAAGAGGGAGAGACACTGAAGGCTTAACCTGTCGTATCCTCTGATAGTGATGTGCCACAGTTGTCATGATGGGCTGAGGTGACATCACAAACCATGCCATGAACAATCTAGCCTTTCCACAGCTGGGGGAGTTACCTGGGGTCAGAGCTCTGTCAGATTTCCTGGAAGATCCAGGCAAGATGATGAAATACTATGAGGCGATTAGTAGAAGAAATGTAGTCAATGCAGCTACAGGAGCTACAGCCATTTATTTAATATCCAAGACTCTGCTAGCAATGCTCAAAAGTCCTCCCTTCAATCCAGCACGAATCAGCTCATCTGGTGAGTCATCTGGGATACAGGGAGATGGTGAGGCATCTTGTGTTCATTTTAAATTGTTGTTCCAGATGGGACATGTCCTTAACAAAAGGCACATTATCAATGTCCAGTGACTCTTGCTCTGCTCTTAGCTCTTCACCCAAGTTATTGCATGGTTAATGATGTCATATGCCTGCTTTTCTGCCCACACTCTGGCTGCATGTTCCTGGGCTTCTAAGAAGCCTCGCTTTGGCTCAGTTTTCATTTTTGTTTGGTTTACATTCTCAGGCTCAGACTTTCCAGCTGTAGGGTGCACTGTGCTTTTCCTAACCAACATTAGGAGAGGAAGAGTGAGAGGGACAAAGATCTAGAGATCTAGGAAGGAATAGCTGGTTGTTGCCATGTCTTCCTCCTCCAGGGTCCACTGGAAAGAAGAGGCCTATTCAGATTTGGCAGGCTGTTTCTAGGAAGGAATAGCTGGTTGTTGCCGTATCTTCCCCCTTCAGGGTCCACTGGAAGGAAGAGGCCTATTCAGATTTGGCAGGCTGCGGGGGGCCAATGAGATCTATGAAGAGAGGTTGCAATAAGTAGTGGGGGGAGGGGTGGCCAAGTGCTGCCAGCCAATGAATATTTTCATCAAAGCATTTTGTCCCAGATGTTCTTTATCCATGCATTTTCCTCGGTGGAATTTGCCCTAGGAGTACTTTTCTTTTTATTCTCCAACAAGAGACCCCAGCCAGCGAGGCAATCATTTCAGTCTGGAGCAGTTTCCAGAAGTGGCACCATGTTAGTCTGTTGCAGCAGAAACAACAGAAGGATCTTGTAATCTCTTTAAATATGGAATTTGCTATACATATTTATGGACTGGAGATGCATCAGAAGTTACCTTAAGCCAATATACACACATATGTATGCCTTAGAAGTTTTAATGCAACAACTTGAGGCAACCCTCTGGCTGTCTTCTCACAACTTACTGAATCCCTCTCAAGGCATTTGCAGGCTTGGGCTTTGCTAAAACTGTCTTTAGGAGTTAGAATGAAGAACCCCCATGCTATACTCATGCCATCTTTCAAGACATACTGAAATGCTTCCCCAGAGGAACTTTCTATACTGCTGATTCAGAGGTGCTGGGAGTTCTGGTGTAAAAAATACAAAGGGTTCTTCCCTTTGATTTTGGTTAGGCAATGTTTCATATCTGCATGATTGCTTCTAGGACTTTCTGTGGAGTCTTATTCAGTCCCATCTTCGAGAATGAATGCCCCTGGAGAGCTCAGAAGACTCCTGCAAACCCTCCGTCCAAATCTGGATGATGACTCCAAGAGGACCACACTTCACACCATCACTCAGTGTATCTATCTGAAGGAAACAGAGGTAAAACTCCGAAGTTGCAGGGCATAAAATGTGATGTAGAAAATAAGCGATTACAACTAAGCCCAGACCCCCAGGTTCAGTTTTAAGGCTCCTTGGTATGCCGGCCATGTTCCATTGGCAATCAGAGAGTGTGTCTAATATTAGAAAGATAGAAAGATTAGAAAGATGGTTTGATACCATTCTAACTGTCATAATTCCATCCTACGGAATTCTGGCATCCATAGTGTGATGGAGGCACCTACATTTCTCTGCTGGACTTTGCTAACACAATCCTCTTAAAAGAGACTTCTAAGTGCCTCATATCCTCTAAAAGTGTTAGGATATCGTAGGATGGAGCCACAATAGTTACACTGGTATCAAAATGCCATGGCTGGATAGCGTAGATATAGTCTAGTCCCCACAGTTGTACACCTATTTTGAAAAAGGGGAGGAAAGAGCCGAACAAAATAAGCCAAAGGTTTCTACTGGAATGGATTTAAGGTGCGATTTTGCACTAAGAAAAAATGGGAAGTTTCAGCCCAAGCAGAAAGATACATACAAGGAGGACATAGTGAGTGGACCAGGATTTGAAAAATGCAGGTTCAATTCCCCTTCAGTTAATCCTTCTAAGCTTGTGCCAGTCTCTCCTCAGCCTGACCTCATTCACAGGCTTATTGAGTGGGAAGGAGCAGACTCCTATATGCTTCCTTGAGTGAATTGGAGGAAAGACAAGGACATAAATGGAACTAACAATCGAAGACACCGGTTTGAATACTGGGAGATCTATAATTGATCTGGCCTTTCTGGGATCTTCAGATACTGTTTGAACATGAACCAGATGATCCACCCCCACCTCCATCTGTTTTGTTATTTTGTCCTGATGAGTGCATGTAGTCCAATGAAATCTTATTGGACTTGGGGGAGTGGAACTGGTAATACCACTCCTTAGATATCTTGTTTACTTTGAAAGTCCTGTTAGGGCCATGTTAAGTTGGTTTTGACTTGACCACACATAACAACAACAGCAATCCAGTGTCAAGGCTAGTGAAAAAAATGGCTGCCTCTTTTGTCAATCACCACCTCCCTGCCTACATAACATCCTTGTGTAGTTTAGCCTCTTGGCACCAAGAAAAATGCTTGCAATGTGTTATGTGGATGTATGTATTAGCCTAACCACGTTCCTAATTAGCTGATCAGTTTTCTTGCTTTCTAGGCCAACGCCTGTACCAATGATGATATAAAACTGGTAGCATCCTTCCTGGATGATGGGGATAAAATCACCAAAATGGAGGCACTAAATGCCCTCAAAGCTTTCACTGTTGTCTGGAGGTTTAAAATCAAAATACAGGTAACCCCTTAACAGAAGCTGTCCTTAAGCCTTTAATTCTGACATGATCGAGTTGTTGCAGTAGCTTTTATACACAAAGCTTCATGTACTTTTTATAAACACTGTAGGGGAAAAAAGCACTTTTAGGATTTCTCCAGCTTTCACATCACAGGCTTTTCTGTGTCAATGTATTTTCAATAACATCTCTACTGAAGTAATTTTAATTTTGCCTCTTTTAGCTCTGCTAATCATTTTATGCTGTTTGTTTATTGTTTTGCTGCATGTGTGTCATTTTGCTGTTTATGTGTTACTTTTAGTTTTTTCTTTTCTTTTATTGAATTTTAATTCTTTTGGTAAGAAACACATGTATTGTGGCTTGAAGGATGGGATATATTAAAAAGCTCTATGGCAAATAAAATAAACAGAGGGAAGGAGACTCACACTTGTATACTTTCTCAGAGAAGGCAAAAGGGGAAGTCAAACTGGAAAAATGGCTCTGGGAAATAATTAAAGCTTTCCTCATCAACTGCAACCCACTTTTGCTGTTAAATCTGTGAAATGTGGGAATTCCTACTTTTCACTTTATCTTTAGTCTATCCTCGCAGTTCAGCTGGGGAGTTCAGCCCTTCTTATGCTGGTAGGGTGCGATTCACATAATGCCTCACCATTGGTAATTGTGACCAGGAGTGAGGGCAGTTGAAATCTATCTACACCTGGTGGGCCACAGATTGCCTGCTGTTAGGTTAGGACTGTTAAATGTGACACTGTTCCTTCTGTTTTCACTAGATGGGACATTATCCAACAGCTATAAGAGGAAAAATTAGGACTCTTTTTTGTTTGGTTGTTAACCTGAATTGATCCAAGGCAGCTCTCAATCCAGATTCTTCTGTGCCATGGGAACCTCAAGATTTTGCTCCAAACCAATGTTAGGCATTTCAATATTTGTGTTTCCTTTTCGCAATTCATTCTGGTTGCAGAAGCTTGTTTCTTGTCGTCGTCGTTGTTTAGTCGTGTCCGACTCTTCGTGACCCCATAGACAAGAACACTGGTTCTTAACCTTGGGTTACTCAGGAGTTTTGGACTGCAACTCCCAGAAGCCTTCACCACCAACTGTGCTGGCTGGGGTTTCTGGGAGTTGCAGTTCAAAAACATCCAAGTAACAAAGGTTAAGAACCACTGGACTAGAGCACGCCAGGCTCTGTAGACTTTGCCATATTTTAATTGTTGTAAGCTGCCCAGAGACTTTTGGGTAGTGTGGGCGGCATAAGTTAAACAAACAAACAAACAAACAAACAAACAAACAAACAAACAAACAGACAGACAGACAGACAGACAGACAGACAGACAGACAGATAGAGATTAGGATTACAGGAAGAATGGAGTGGAGGGATGGAGTGCAATATGAATACTTCTAAGTCACGGGGACAAGGGAGGATGAGAAAAAACGGGTAGAGGAGCTGTCCCTCAGCCCGGTTTGTGTACATTTGACTACTGGGAACTAGGACCCCTTTCTGTTTCTTTAATCATTTAAAGTGTCACACTGGCTTATGGAGTCATCCCTGAGGTTAATTTGGTGTCCTTGGGCCTGACTACCTCTCAGCCTAACTTACCTTACAAAGTTGTTAAAAGGATAAAAATGGGACGGGGGGAGAAATATAGGCTGAAAATAAAAATATAAAATTGTTTGAAGCAGCATGGTATTGTGGGTAAAGGGTTGGACAAGGGGACGAAAGTTAAAATCTCTACTCATCTGTGGAATTCAGTGGGAGACCCTGGGCCTGGCACTTTCTCTCAGCCTGACCTACCTTGCCACACAGGTGTGAAGATACTGTAGAAAAGAAAAGCAGGATCTAAATGTAATTTTTCTCCCACCTTGAGCTTCCTGAAAAAGATGTGAAGTATAAATGTAACAAACACAGGCTGTAAGACCTATTTAGTTGTGTTTTAAAGAATGTGGAGCCAACCTGCATTGCAGGAAATGTGCAAGCCCTACCACTCTCCTTTTTCTGTTTAATTGCGGGAAAGCAACTATTTGAAGCTGCCATAGCTGGGTAGCTTCATGAGCCAGAAGCCAGACTTTGGAAGGGGGTGCCTCATGTGGAGAAGTACTCAGGTACAGCAGCTCCTCCTCGTAGAGCAATTGCATTTCGGTGACTACAGCGATGGTAATGGAGCAGTGGGGCTAGCACACTCCTACCCATATGTGTGGGCTCCACATTCTCTAGAACACAACAGACTAGGTTAGTAGTCTGACCACATTCTGAAGCCTCAAAGCTTGCTGAACTTCCCTGTTATGATCTGCACACACAAAAAGACAGCTTATGAGATGGATTCCATCTCACAAGCTATCTTGAGTTTACAAGAACTGAGCTCTTGTAAAGACACAGGCTCGAATTTACAAGAACTGAGTTGTTGAGGACTGGATATGTTGCAAGTCATAGAGTAACATAAATTGGAAACAATTTAATGGCATGTATTGAGGACTGGATATATTGGAAGTCATAGAGTAACCATAAATTGGAAACAATTTAATGGCATGTAAGAACAACAACAGCAGAAAACATTTGCTTAGCAAATGAAAAGTAAAACCAGTTCTTCCATGGCGCCTATCCTGATCTCAAAGGATATTCCATTGCCTGCAAGAACAGAGGTATAGCAGATAAAATGTAACAAAAAGTCTGTTTTGTTTTCCTGTGCAGGAATATGTTCCCAAAATTATTGAACTGGTGACCAGCAACTGGGATATGAACCTGCAAGTTGCAGGGTTGAAGCTCCTGAATGGATTACATATACCAAACAGCACTCACTCACTCCTGAGGAGGTTGCTACCGAACTTCATGGAAATTCTGCTCGTGGCAAACACTTTGGCCAAGGTACAAAACTACCCAGACACTTCCTCTTCTTTCTCAATGCTATCTGATGCATGGTGAGCTTGGAGCTTTTAGAAGAACTGAAATGCACCTTCTACCATGATTCCTGCAAATATTCCTGCAAATAAAAATGGGTTGACGTTTTCCCTTTAAATATTGTTATCTATTGCAAATGGAACAAAATGCTGCAATAGGAATAGCAGCAGTTCAGGATTCCTCAACCCTATTTCCTTCTCATATTAGTATGATTTGTTTTTGGAGTTCTTTCCTTGTTGCTTAAAAAATGTCGAGTTTGTTTCTGTTGTATGACAGGACATGGCAACTGTGGCCCTCCAGATGTTTTTGAACTTGAACTCCCAATAATTCTGTCCAGGATAGTCAAATGTGAGGGGTTATGAGAGATGGGGACAAAACATATCTGGAAAATTAAGAGTTTCCCATCCATTCTGTAAAAGGTCTCAATGCAACCTTTCCCAACCTGGTGCTCTTCAGGTGTTTAGTATGACCACTCCCATCATCCCCTGTCAACATGGTCACCAGATTTCTCTTTGCTGACAGTTTCTGAGAACATTTTTTTCTTTATTTGTCCAGGTGCAGGTTCTCAAGTTTCTTAGCACACTAGCACAAGAGGAAGACCTGCTGTATGACGTCATGAACTGCCGGGTAAGTGTCATTGAGCCCATAAAGGGAAACTTTCTGTTCAGTCAGGGGACAAAGAATTGCAGAGGGATTGGGGACCCATAGTGGGGGCTGATTGGCTCGACTAGGGGTCTCAGTCCCACCCTGATGCACCTATGTTGCAATGTGGCCATAGATAAAGACCTAGTTTTACATGTATGTGTCTCTGTGTGTGGATATGAGAGCTGTACTTCACAAAAAGTAATTTTCTCAAGCTGTGAGGCTGAGCAGTGGTGTTGTGGAACTGGAGTTTGCCCTCTCTGAGCATAATTGCAGTTCTCACAAAGCCTGCCCCGGAGGAGATTTTCTTAGCAGTAACGCATTGTGATAAAGTATTTCTGTTCTAAAGCAAAATATTTCAGGATGGCAAGGGCTTGTCTCAAGTAGATGGTTAAGACAAAACAGCCTGGCAAAATCTGTAATGTATAGTTGTCCATGATCGGGTCCCCATCCCACCCCCTTGGAGATGGCAAAATAAACTTCTGGAAAAACCTGGACCTAAGAAGTTTTGGGAGGCATGGTGTCCCCTCTCCAACTTTTCCTTTCTCTTGCAAAGTCCAACATGCTGCCTTTCGTCCAATTACTATTCCATGCAAGTCAGCTGATCCAAATGAACTGCGTATTATGCTCCATGATGCTGCTCCTGGGGATATATGTGTGTGCACACTCAAGCATTGGTGTAGTTGCCTGTATTTCTGGAGCCTTCCTGGGGTTGTAACCTTGGAGCTATCATTATGAGTACCTGCATTTCAAAACTGACCAATAGACTCCTATTGCAGAGTGCAAAACATATTGTTGCAGGGAAATTGTTCACCTCTACAAAACCAAACCCGTTACCATCTCATTTGAAGGTGCAGGGGAGAGATTTAAATCTTTGGAAAGTTGTAAGTACAATGTCACCAATCTGCCTGGAGCACAGAAGTAGTCTCCTAGGGCAGTGATCCTCAATGTTGGGCCTCCAGATGTTATTGAACTACAACTCCCAGAAGCCTTCGCCGCCACCTCTGCTGGCCAGGATTTCTGGGAGTTGAAGTCCAAGAACATCTGGAGGCCCAAGGTTGGGGACCACTGTCCTAGGCCTCCCAAGCAGACTTGGCCTTACATAGTAGCAACTTTCAAGAGCCTTGATCCCAAGCAGACTTGGCCTATGATTACATAGTAGCAACTTTCAAGAGCCTTGATGTAAGAAATCAATAAGGATTTATAATCAGCCTGAACCTATTACTCAGGTTACTTGTCATCCTTTTAATCTGCCCCAATAGCATGATTGTTGCCAAAGAAAGATAAGAGACCTACTACTTTACTTCTGTTTCATGGTTTTCAGAACTCTGCCTTTGGAGCATGTAAAACTAGAAGACCAATACAGGGCAGTGATTAGAATGTTGAATAAAGCTAGAGTTCTGCTCAGCTACAAAGCTCATTATCTGATCTTGGGCTAGTCATTCTTTCTCAGGCTGACCTGCCTCGTACAAGTTTGTTGTGAGGATAAAAACTGGGAAGAGAGCTAGGCATGCCACCTTGAACTCCTTGGAAGAAAGTTGGGCCATGAATGTTTAAAAATATGATGCAAAGAAAGGCTGATACAATCAGGAAATATTTATCAATGAAATCACCTGCATGGGGATAGTGAGGAATGAGGGAAAGGATGAAGAGACCTTTCACTAAAACTGGTTGTGATCTCTCTTCCCAAAAGGCACCCCCAGAGTTCCTGAGCCTCTTCCAGCCATCTCTGCCTGGCAACCTGCTTTGTGAGTTGTTAGTCTTTGTGGAGTGTCTGAGTGTGGGCCGCCTTTCCCCCCAGTACCAGTCTGTGGACTGGCAGTACAGCGATAACTCTCTTCATGAAACCATCTTTGGGGAAAACTCCCGCCTGCCGGACCGTTTGCTTGCTCTCATCATCCACCCAGAGGAGGACGTGCAAGCTCAGGCCTGCAAGGTTATCCCTAGCCTCCGGCTTAACAGGGAAGAGAGCAAGCTGGCCAGTGGACCCCCCTTTGATGCCAACATCAGCGTCCAACCTCTTGAGTCAACGAGAATTAGCCAGGCTGCTAACTCTGTCCTTAGTAACCACCCTTTTGTTCTCAGCACCCACCCCTCTGATGCCACAGACACTGACACTTCCTTTCACCCCGTCCATGATGATAGTGGCCGCAGTTTCTACCCCCTCCAAGGCACTGACGAGACTGGGGACAGCTTCTACCCCCTTCAGAGGACTGACCACAGCTTCCACCCTCTAGAAAATGTCAGTGTCAACAGCAGCAGCCGAGTCCTCGAGGACTCTTTTGGCAGCTTCCATCCTCCTCCAGCTGCTCCCTTAGGTGACAGTGACAGCAGCACTTAAGAAATCAGTTTATAGAGGAGCAAGACTAATAAAGGAGTTGGAAAAGAAAGGACAAAACTGCTTCTCAATTTCAGAGCTTGTCCACATAGTTTTGTGGCCCCTAGTCCTTCTAGGATTATTCTGGGATGTTTTGATATTTTTGTTGCAGATTGGAACAGATCATCCCAGTATTTGCACTCAAACAAGGGCAGGTCTTTTTTTGCTGAATGGGGTGGGATGCAGAGGGCTCTGTGGGTACCACCCATCCATACAAATTCAGAATTGCTCCCTGACATCTCATACCCAATTCCAATCACCCCCATCAGTCACCATTTTAATTTGTCTTCCCTGCCCTTACCCCTAACCCACTTCTACTCTCCTCCTCTTGTTTTTCCCAGCTACCATTCTCAAGCCTTCATGTTTTTACCTATCAAACTATTTTTCTGTGTAAGTTCAGCAGTAGTTTCCCAAAGGAAGAAACATCGGACATTTCAAGAAAACTACATAAGCAGGTCATGTTAAGGCATGGAGGAGTTGGAAACAGACCAGCAGAACCATGCCCCTGAGGAAATGACTCCAAATGAAAGTTACACACAGAGGGGATGGATAAGCATGCAACAATCAGGTATTAAGGTCTGCACAGGGAGACATGCAGAGGGGCTGATACAGATCTGGAGTGGAACAAATTAAAGCAAAATAGAACAAAAATACAGTATAGTATCACTCAGCAGTGATGTCAAAAAACAACAACAGAAAGCAAGGTTTTTAAAATCCTACTTTGACTCTGTTTTACCCACTTTTTACTCTGGGTGACTGCCTGATCTGATGCAATGGGGTGCCCACAAGGGTGTCAGTTTTTTCAACTGAGTTCTGTATCCAAACAGTGTTTTGTTTTTTAATCATCCAAATTAGCAGTTATTCAGATAAGCACTATGTGGGGAGAGGGGAGAGATACCCACCCACCCCAAAAAATGGTGGCACCAGGGGAATATGCCAGTGCTGTTTGGAGCACTGCAGGGATGGTATGGGGTGCTCTCAAAGATGGTGATCCGACAATATCTTTGGGCCAGTCTAGACAGGAGAATTTGGAATGGTTTGGTTCACACTTAAAAGGTTCAGCGCAATCTATCTTACCTCTCGCCTGAGTGATCACTCCATTTGCACTGGAGATGTTTATTCTCCTGCAAGGTCGCTCTACACAATTCTTTGGGTTACTGGTTTACTAATGAGTAAGTTTACTCAGAGTGAGAAGACAGTTGCTGTGGTATTGCCTCAAGGGGAAAATGTTTGGGTGAAGACTGGGGAGGTGGAAGGTAGGTAACTCCCACCCCCACTCCCTTTTTCCTCCTTTCTCAGTGGAGCTCCGTTGGGTCTGGGTTGCTTTGTGGAGGCAAAGTCCAGGAAGGCCCCAGAGACCCCCTTTTCCTGCCTTTTCTTGCAGCCATCTTTCAACAGGCTGCAGTGGCCATCCTTTTCTTGTTGTTAAATAAATTGAGTGGCCTCTTGAAAGAACAATGTATTGACCTAGTATGCACTGCATCTGCTAATATGAACAAGATTAATATTAAATCAAATATTAAAATTAAGTATTAATATTAAAAATAAGAAGATGAAAACAGAGGAGGGGTTTCTCCATCCTTCCTTTCGATGCCACAACCCACCTATTACATCACAGAGTTGCCACCTCAGATAACGCCACCAACAGCTCCATTTGGGTGTGAGGTAGCCATCCGCACAGGCTACACAACGGGATAATTAGGGTTGTGCTGTATCATGCCAAAACATGCACACAAAACCCCCAGAAGCCCTTATCCTTATGCCAGAAAGGTGCATGACAGCTGTCAGAAGGGAAGGATGGACTGATCTAAGTGTGGATGAAACAATTTGGTTTGAACCAAATCATATCAACTGGGATCTAAGTACTGATCTACATACCTGTCTGACTAGAACATACCAGCCCGCTCCCAGGTCAATCCCAGCCACACCTTTCTGTGCCAAGTCAAGAGGTTTCTGCTGGAACCGAATCACTTGAACTGATTCAAAGTAAGCCTTCCTTTTTCAATTTGCCAGTAACATGAAATAGCTTAAAAAGCGAGCCAGTTCAGGATATTGGCAAATTAATCATTTCCCCTGCTTTCCATGTGAACAGTAAGGTTAGAACAATCTAATAGAGCCTGATGTTCCCAAGTGGTCCACACTAGTTTCCTCCCTGCTGCTTGTGCAGCCATCTCCCGACTCTGTTTTCCAAGAACTTTTCCACAAAGTATCTGAATTGTCTCCCATTGCCACCAGCAATGTTACCTCTACTTCTTTCTTCTTCAAGGCAGCACATCCTGAACTACTATGTCGTAATGAAGTGAATACAAAGAGAGGAAAGGATGTCAAACACTATGAGACTTTTTCCAATTTTTACAAATGCTTTAGTCGGAACAGAGACTAAGGAAGGATGCTCCTTGCTTACAGACACATCCTGTGGCAGCACAAGAAGACAAAAAAGCATGACCTGAGGAAGTAGCCAGAATGATAGGCTTCAGTTTCATTTAGGAATAAGAAATGCAGTTCTTTCTATGATGGAAGATGCAGAACAACATATCAGATGGCGGAAAGCAGGTAGTGGAAGAGGCACTAAATTGTAAAATGCTTTTCCATTAAAAAATGGGGTTTGTGAGGAAAAAGTTGAGTTTAAAGTACAGCTCTTCAGTGCTGAACTGATATATAAAAATATTCAGAGAAAATAGTAAGGGTGTAGAATATACCTAAGACAAGGAAAGGTTTGTAGCAAATTGGATGAGAGGTATGTTTGGAAGTATTTGCAGTTTAACCAAAAGCATGTGTGGAAAAAAAATGGAGACAATGATGCCTGGTTTTATTCGGAAAACTGTACTGGAATGATTTTGCCATAGGAGTGATAACAGCTGCATAATTGGTAAAAGGAATCAAGAAAAGTATTCGTGTATTTAATTTTTTTCTTTTCTGGCATTGCTGTCCTTTGGGTCCCGGCAGATGCCATAATCCGTGTTGGTGATAACCCCTCCAATTGTCCAACTGGCATCACAATTTAAGCCACCTTCACAGGGACACCTGTAATAAAATCCATAAAGGTGCTGCAAACATAAAGAATATATAGATTAGAATATAAAGTTTAAGAGTTACACGTGCCCCTTATCTTATATTCATTATGTCACTCAAGCCAAGTCCAGGCATCATCCTGTACCTCTTACTTCTCTTCCTATAGATCAGTAGTTCCCTGCCTTGGGTCCCCAAATGTTCTTGGACTAAAACTCCCAGAAGCCTTTACCACTAGCTGTGCTGGCCAGGATTTCTGAGAGTTATAGTCCAAGAACATCTGGGGACCCAAGGTTGGGAAACACTGCTATGGAGCTTGGAAACGTTACTTTTTTTTTTTTACTATAAACTTGTGGTATCTGGGAGACTGTGGGATTTGCACTTTTTGAAGATGTGGTTGAACCTGTAACATTTTGATAGATGCAGTTGTTGAATAGTCAGCCAGATTACTGATCCATCTAGTCTCATCCGATTTATTCCAAATTTTCAAGGGGTCATCAGGGTCTCAAGAAGGGTTTCTTTCTCATGCCTGATCTCTGAGATCCTCTACTTGAAGGTATTAACATAGACAGAACAGTCTATATATTCCCTACCAATATGGGCCAAGCTTCATGTGAATCTCTCATACTATTGGAATTCTTCTTATCACTTTCCCTTTTTCTCCCCCTTTCCAGCACACTCCTATACATGTCTATCTGAAGTAAGTCATATTGCGTGCAATTGTACTTACCTTCAGGAAAATGGATAGAAGACCAGAGCCTTAAACTCATTTACTCTGCTTCTACCTGTTCTGCCCCTAATTTAATCTTCCCTTCCCAATAATGATATTATTTCTCCCTACAATGTTCTTTGCTGGGTTCTTCTTTCTGCTCAAGAAAGATCTGCTCTAAACCAGATCCTGCTCTTCAGGATCTCTATCAGATTCATAGTATGGGTTTACATTACAATGAATATGATGGCCAGCAGAACAGTCAGAAGGCAGGTACTGAGTAAATGGTAAGAAATGCATCTACCTTCCTGGAACATTCCTGGTTTTCAGCTGCCTTGTCCATGCAACGGGCCAATCCTAACAAACTGTTTTTGTGACAGCATCTGCTTTTGCACTGGACGCTTTGCAAACATAGCTCCCCATTGTCCTAGAAGGAAAGCACAGTTTGATAAGAAGCAAGAAATAGGATAGATGTCCACGCCTTCTGCTCCCCTTGCAATTAGGCTGATGCATGTGATCTTGGTTTTATATGAGATTGTGCTACAAATAATGTCCAGTGTTTGGATTAAATGGTCAGTCTTGCAAATGTCTCACATGTCCTGATTTCCCTTGTTAGAATCATGGGTCACTAACTCCAGGATCAGTCCATATTTGGAAGATGAACTAATTCATCTTGATCATTCTGGTGGGATAAATTATTATCATAACATTTTTTAAATATATGAAAACTGAGTCTGAGAGTCACTTCCCATTTTATGAACCAGCCCAAGTGGGTCTCAGTGCTGTGCCAACCAAAATGAGTGAACTCTTTCTTGCACACATGCTCCAATTCTTCTGAATGCAAACCATTTTTTCTTATGCTGTTATAGGCTGCTCTTTCTTTTGTGGGGAAACAACCACAGCAGAATCTGCCCCGTATACAGAGCCCATGGATGAAGAGTTGTAGTAGAAAGTTGACTATTTCTAAGGGAGGAATGTGCCAAAGAATTGACCAAACCGGCAGAATTTTTTGCCCCTTAACAATGCAACATTGTGTGCCTAACAGTAAACTGAAGGATGTCTAGTAAGATAGTTCTACGGGATGAGGAAAAAATGTGGAAGAAATTCAGCAGACTGACTAAATGTACACTCTTATAGTCTTCACTGCAGCAATTGACTAGATGTGCAACAGTACTTTTACGTATTGTATTGACTAAACTTTTGGTTCTCAGCCAAACTATGAACTTCACAACCATGTCTTAAGTCCATCTACACCAACTGGATTATTTTACTGGAATCTATTTGCCATCCCTGCAGAGTTTCTATTACAAAACCTCAACAATGTGATTTATTTATTGGATTGTTTATTTATTTCTGCTTTTTGCTAGCAGAGACTGAAACAGGACTCAAATTAGATCTTAATTAACCCATTTTCTCTTCCACAATGGAATTTATTCAGAGATATATGCCTCAACAATCAGATCCATTGATGATGCCCATTTACCCTTCAATGATTTATCCCATCACAAAAGAAAGCACAATTAATGCAAGATACAGAGGTGAAGAAAAAACATGTGGCATGACTACTGCATTTTACAGCACTTGGGGAAACACTTCTGCCAAAAAAAGTAAAAGGAATATATGATACATGTATTAGCCAGAATCCTATTTGGAGAAACAGAAGTGATAGGAGCTCATGATTCTTTGATATAAACACTTACTGCTAATTACCTCAAGTGTTTCTGATCTTTGGAGAAAAACCTGGGGGTCTTTCTAGTGCTACTATTGTTAAACATCTAGGATGATTTTTTTAAAAAAATCGAATTCCTTTGTTAATCTACTTCAAATCATCTAGCGATCTATGAGTAGCTCCAGCTCTGTCTTCCATTTGCTTTTGAAGAAGAGTGACTGAAACATCTCTGAAATAAATTCTGATTTGGATCATAGCCTGAAATCAAATGAAGAATGTCTGTCAAAGCTTTATGCTAGAACAAGGCAATAATCCCTTTGTTAGAAAGAAGACCATGAACACTAAGACAGAAACTCTTTCATCTAGAAAAGCAAAAAGTAGCGTACATAATGCATGGTACAATATTGTATCAGCCAGTACTCTCTTACCAGATTGGTGATAAGTCCTCTTGGATTAGCAAAAGTCTCTGCCAAGACAAAGGTGAGCAGCAGCAGGACCCAAAGTTTTTCCATTGGTTATTGGCAGCCAACAAGCTGATCTGGTGCTCTTTAATTGAGAACTCAGCACTTCTAGGATACTGCAGATTTATAAAGCATGTCACCAAAGCCATGTGATTCCTTCCTTCCAATCATCTATGAATGCATGTCCACTTGTGGAAAAATACCAGTGGTGGAAAAATACTATTGGAGACAACAACCTAAACTAAGAAATCATAGAGGAGGGAAATGGCAGATAAACTGGGGATAGATGGTAAGTCTATGCTCACTTACCTGGAAGCAAATTCCACTGGATTCAGTGGGATTTATTTCTGAGTAAGTATGCGATGATCAGCTCTAGGTGGTAAGTTGGTGGGTTTTGTGGGGTGGGCTGGGCTGAACTGAGCATACAGTGCAAATGATCAGCTCTAGGTGGTAAGTTAGTGGGTTTTGTGGGGTGGGCTGGGCTGGGCTGAACTGAGCATACAGTGCAGTGGCTGCCCAGTTGCTCTCCCAGCACCTAGTTTTTTGTTTTATGTTCATATTGCTACAAAGCTGCTGAAAATAAATTATCCCAGTAAGCAGAAGCAAGCCACGATTCAGTATTGCCTGTTCTTGCAGGCAGGAAAAACAGAATTAGTTCTGTGAGATATTCCTAATCGATCTGTTAGCTCTAGATTTTCCTAGGAAACATGGTATTTTGATACATTTTAAGGCATGGTATACCAAAGGAACTGAATTTACCAAAAATGTGACTAAATTTGAAATAATCCTTTCAAGGACATTTGCAAATGGGAAGGAATACAACTTCATCAGCTGCAAAAAAAAAATCCTCTGCATTATTGTGCTTCCTTACCCGGAGAAGAACTGAATTGGGACAAAGGTGAAAAACAACCTGGGGTTCAAGAATCCTGCTCTCATCGCTCATTTCATAATGATTCCATTCAGAATCCAAGCAGGATTGTCAGCTGAATGAAAAATAGGTAGAGTGCAGTAGCGTGTGAAAAGCTTGTTCTTTCCCAAAGCATTCAGTCATACGGCGATATGGAATTATTTGGAGCTAGTGCAAGCTGCACTAGTGGAATTTTCTCCCAGCACAAGTACATCTCACAACATAATAGTGGTTTCCTTGGTTGGCAAGGTCAGATCACTTGTTGAATGCTTTTAGGAGTACAGTAATATTTGAACTAGACATTCCAAAGTAGCTTTTCACAAGTATTGCACTACAGTTTCCATCACCCCATAATGGGGTTGTAACTTAGCATACTGTATCCGAGAGCTCCTGGCCTGTGGAAGGCTACATACTATCTAGCTTGTGACTTTGGCAATCTCATATGTTGTGTGTTTTTTTAACAACTGGTCTAGGGAAGTGTTCTGCTGTTCTGAAATTCCTCAGAGTGCTCTGCTACTGTGAAAGTCAATGAATGCAACTCTCAGGTTTCATGATTAAAACTCCAAGGATTCCCAAATAGCCACAGGCCAACTTAGAAACTAGCTGTCTAGGAAGCGTGTGCATAAAATTGGATCCCAAGTCCTGACACCTTGGTCTAGTATAAAAAATGAAGTGGCAACAAGAAAAGTAAAACTCTCTCTACCTTCCTTGTTTAGAGTTCTTTCAAACCGAGGAGACTGCAATAATGTTTACTGTTCTCTTTCATTACATGTTAATATTCTAGTATGGTATATGTTGATGGGTCATAGATCCCTGGGGTGCTGACACAATATGTTAACTTTAATACTGAAACATGATATCAGTCACATAGAATCCTGTGAGCTGTGGTTTATATGCTTAGATATTGTTCATTCTTTTTAAGTGGGGCTACAGAAAATTGGCCACACACTGCCTCACACTAGAATGCCACATGATTTTTTCCATCTTCTAAGATTTATATGTATCGTTAATTCTTATAGCTCCTTTATTTCTCCGAGCTTCAACACTGGCCATGCTCGGCTGCTCATGTGTGTATCTTATTTGGCAAGCTGAGTTCCTGAGTGCTTGCACTGCATGCAGGATATTTTTCTGCCTTTGGAACAAGTTAGGAGAAGGAGTCGAGAAAGGAGAACGCACGGGCTTGATCCAGGTGGATTTCTCCGCTCCTCATCCTCTCCTCATGGCCATCATCCATAAACTTTCCTGTAGGAGGCTCCCAAGATAGAAAAAGAAAGTGATAAGAATAACACATACAGTATGTTGTATCTGGACTCTCCTTTGGTTTCACAGGGGCATCTGCCAGCAGCTATTCTGTGGGAAATATTCCAACTATATATATTTGCTTGTTAATATTATCTACTGTGATTTTATTAATGTGATTTGACCTGGGAAGAGTTAATGGACTGAGAAGAGGAGGGGTTTCACCTCTGACTTTCAAGAAAGGGTGCTCTAGTCATGAGTTGACTGTGGTTTTGATGTTACTTGTACACCACCTTTAAAAGATTCGTATCATGAATGGCAGCATATGAACAATTGTCTCAGACAGACAGTGAAAAATGTGAGTGTTATTAATATATCCCAGTTTAATTTGTATTTTAGAAACAAACTTTTCATTGATTTCACCTGTTATTGTCATTGGTCAGTCCTTTCAAAGTAATATAAAACAAAACAAATGGGAAAAGAAATAATAGCAACCTCAAGAAAAAGGAATATTTCATGCAGAGACAGATTTAAATCCTCATTGTAATTATTCCGTGTTCCCGGTATAGTTTATAATATGATTTATTAGTTGCTTTGTTGTTGTACATACTACTACACAGAATTTTGCAACTTCGACTTTGATTTCACTTGAAGAATTTACTAACTTGCATTCACAATCAAACCAGTTTTGAATTTTGTTGTGTTTGAGAAGAAGCAATAGCTCTTTGCTGGAGTTTCTAGACACTCGCATGTTAATTGCAAATAGGCTCAGGTGGCTGTCTCAGATGAATTAGCTATGATACTTTGGTTGCAAAGTTGGGATGCTTTAGCTGAGCTAAATAAATCCAAGCTCTGCTTGCCTACTGTCTTAGATCATTTTGTTCTTGTATAACTAGAGTTAATCATAAGATGTATGCCAGACTTCTCAGCTAAGTAAGCAGTTTGGTCCCATATTTTTCATTTTAGCAAGATTGATAAGTGATTACTATCTTGGGGTGTCTGAACTTTTAGATAAACTATCTAATATTTTGTGTGAAGCCAAGACAAAAATCAATGATCTTTGCTCCATTTCCTCTCCAGAATGTGAACTCTCCAGTGAAATTGGTCCAGACTTTTCCACTGAGAATTTTTTAAAAAATCCTGGTCTCTTTGCAAACTGAACTAATTGATAGCCTTTCAAATTGTGCTGTAAATCTTTAGACAGTTTCAGTGAAATGAAATTTTATATTGCATATGTTGGAGGAAAAGCAATATAATGTGAACACAGAACTGCATATGAGCAGCTAATTCTAGTGTTAACGTTTCCTGCCAGTAACACAGAGGCATTTAGAAATGTCAAAGATAAGTTGGCTACATACTCTTCCAGTGTGAGCCTGTCTTCACATGGTACCTTGAGGGGGAAAGGTAAAATTGTACAATCAAAAGATTATGATGTTTAACATTCACAGTACAAGCTAAAGCTTTCTGATCACATGGGTGTTGCTTTGTACCTGTTTCCAGGACAGATCAATGTAACATGACACCTTTTGGTCTACCTCCTTTCTCCCCTGTTAGTGCTGGAAGAGAATCCCTCAAAGAGCACTGGTTCCCAAGTCCAAGTCTCGTACAAGAGAACAATAACATACAGAATTAAATAGTTTTGGAAAGAGGCATCTAGCCTTTTGGAAGGTCAGCCAGAAACATTCCATAAAGAATGTTAATTGTGCCTTGGGGTTTCCCCTTTAAAGGGTGTTCTAGCAATGCTTCTAAATCAAGCATTTTGTTGTCTCTAGTGCATCTTTTCCATGAACCCAGATGATAAAAATGTCACCAATGCACCCCAAATAGATGAGGGCTTTTTAGTACAAGAGTTAAGAAAGCATGGACTATACTGTATTTGCATGCTGTGGTGCCATATGAGTACCCATGGCAGTTCCATTCATCCGGAGATAGATGTTGTTGTCAGAGATGAGGTAATTATGTATGAGTACCAGGTCACTTTTAATAACATCAAGAGCATTGTTGTCCAATTAAAATTCAAAAGCTCTCACATTCTTGATGGTAAATTTGGTAATTCTTTTTTTGCTTGAACATCCAAGGGGGTGGTTTCTGAGTGGTTAAAGTGTTACATTGGCAATACTCTAATCTTTTAATGAATTAAGCATTGTTGGCAGCCTTGCTGTTCTTTTATCTAAATCTTGAGATAAGGTTTTGGTAGCAGAGACTGCAGGAACTGTGGTCTCAAAATGTGTTGGAGAAAGAGTTCGGCTAGTACTATTTGCAATTAGAGGGTGGATAATTTACGTCAGCAATACCCTGGTTGATGATATACCAAAGTAGGAAAATTTTCAATAACATCAAAAGTATTGCTGTCTGATTAAAAGTCAAAAGGACTCACGTCCTTGATAGTAAACTCGGTAATTTTTCAACTTTCTGAAGATCAATAAAATGTATATCCAGGCATAATAGCTGACTTAGTGTACAAATGAGTCTTCTACTTATCCGTTGTCCTTTATTTAAATGATTACTGTATTAGCAATATGCAATTTGACTACTCTGCTCCGGCTCCGGTCACCCAGCATGACAGTAAGCAATACTCATGAGATCCGACGCTGGGATCTCACGAGTTTTGACTGTTACTCTTGAGCCGCAGGCTGTGGAGCCTGCAGCTCAAGAGGCCAGAAGCGATCCTTGCACAGGCAACGTGATGACGCATCACGTCCCCTGTGCGAGATAGAAGACAGTCGGACAGGAAGGCTGCGGGGGAATGGAGGACAGGTGAGTTAGCTCAGTGTTGGGTTTTTTTTTTCTTTCCCTTCCTGCGGTGAATGAATTACAACGCTCACATAGTTAACTCCCTAAAATGTTTAGGGAGTTAACTATGTCAGCCTTGTAGTTCGTTCACTGCAGGGCCTCACCCAATGGG